GTAGCTTTTCTGTAAAGAAAAGGGGGAGAACATAACTCATATAGAGAGAAAAAGGAAAAAAAAAATTTGCATAAAGCCGAAGTTTAAACGTCTTTTCATCAAACTGCTGCAAACTAACAGCTCTCAACATTTATATCAAATAATATTAAGCAGCAGAAATACACTGTGTAAACTGAGGGAACGTTGAACTTGAATACATTAAATTAGTCAGAAATGAACTTGAAGGTACATAGCCTACTGTAGTCACACTGAGTTGATTGTGTTTCAGTGATACTTTTTCAAACTGTTGCACAAGATAAAAATGATGCTTTTCTTATTAGTTTGAAAGTATAAGTCTGGGTTAAAAGAACATTAATATTATTTTTTTTAAGCAGCACCAAATCATTATGGTTACATTTATTGGCTACTTGCAGACCTTTTAAAAAATATTACCAAGAATAAAAGTAGGGAGAATTTTAGTTTGAAATTAGACTATAAAATATCAATAAAACTTTGAGTCATTGTTCTACCTCTTATCCAGTCTTTACTAATTTTGTTGTTTTCCTAAGAATTTCCTAAGTGCACTTCAAACGCATCCCTGTGGTGAGTTTATTATATTTTTACTTCCTCATCATGTCACCCTACATCTTTAAGAACATACTGTATAGGTGCTCACTAATTTATCAAGGTGTCCTCATTCACCATCACCTGTTGGCAGGTGGTGTTGGCTTCCACATATATATCAATGCAGTTCAGAGGAAGCTCCTTAAAGCAAGAAAAAGAGGAAAAAAAGAAAAAGAGAATGGTAATTCTTATGTAAGAATTTGAGCAAAAAAAATAAGTCAAGATTCATGTCTTTGAAATAGTCTATTTTACATTTTCTAAGAACTACTGTATTTCATTTTTTTTTTCTTTTTATTCATATAATAATTTGGAATTGCAATAATTAGTTCTGTTGTTTCAATTTTGATTTGTAGAAAATAAATATTTTAAACATTTTCAAACATTTGCATCAGACAACATGGATCATAATTTAAAGAAACTTTCATACAAGGTTTTTAAGCTGTTCCTGTAAAAAATCAAACTACTAAGACAGTTTGTTGCTCAGTGTGCTAAACAAGGTGCCATTTTTAACCCCATTTGAGTGCCTGCCTACCAGGATGCCTGTGCAAATCACTCCAGTATTGGTATCGATTGCATATAAGTGCTATTGTTAAATGCCCAAGCAAACAATCATGCTTGTCTGATAGTTTCAAAGTGTAATTTTTGACTTTTGGCAAAGTTAAAGTATTACATTTATTGGTTAATTCCAAAGAAGTAATTAAATCCAATATTTACAAAAGATTTCCAGTTCTAGCTACAACTCTACTGGTTTAAACAGAGAATGATGAATGTTTAAAGACCAGATAAACACACAAACCTTGGCAGATAAATTGTATATAATCCTTTTTTCCAGTTTTCAGATACATTTATGTAGTGGTGAAATGGCAAACTTAGGCATATTTATAGGCACACCTGTGGTACCATCGATTAGTCAAAGCTGGTCTGTTTGCATGGCGAGACCACTACATCTAATTTCATTATTAACTACAATTTTTTTTTGTTCATTTAAGCTGTTCAACCACATGTATTCAAATAGGTCGCTTCTTAAAATATGGCTACCAATTAACCATAAAAATTTATTCAGACATTTTTATTGAGCGTGATTTCCATACTAGGAAAATGGCCCCACCGTGACCTGGAGAAGATCTAAGCAGGAGAAAATGGATGGATGATTTCCATACTACCAGAAAAGGAGTAATCATATGATTTTAAAGTCCATTTTAACAGACAGGCCACTAATAACATTAAATTGTTTATTCAAATGAAAACCTATTTGCCAATTTGACATCTGTCTAATAAATTCGGGCAGATTCCTAGAATCATTTACAAATATTTACATATTTCCACCGAGCAGGCTATACTCTTTCTTGTCTAAGCAGTCGATTACAGTTGACATATGACGCGTTTCCTCAACTACTTTTCACCTTTAAACTTATGGCTAATTAGACAAAAACTTAAACTTAAAAAAGTTGGAAAGCACAATATAGTAGCTGACTGCAATGGAAGAACCTTTAAAACAGTTTACTTGGAAATCTCTAGGGAATTGTTATTGCTGCAGTTATACCCACGAAATACCCGCCATGAGGGATGTGTTTATGATTTGAATCAAATCAGACACTAAATCAGACAACAACTTCTTCATAAAACATGTGGATAAAACATCAAGACAGAAGGAAGGAGAGCTTAGCGGATGAACAGTTTCTTCCAAGCTTTTGCAGTTTATTGGGCAGAATAGGAACATTTTACCATGTTTCTCTAACTGGAAACAGGATTGGTACTGGAGATGGCATTGATAACAGGACTGCTTTTACTTTTGTAAAGCTATTGCAGGCCTTTTTAGATTGTAGTTTATCAGCCGCAGAGATAGGAGGGTTTGTTAACCTGTTACCTGTTGCAATTAAGGTGCCAATATTGTTGATGTTTTTGTTGATAATCTCAGTTACAGGAAGAGCAACAAGTTCTCCCCTTTTTTTAAACAATCTCCTCTGTTGGAGAAAAATCTAATTTGGAGGTGCATTCTCCAATAAAATCTATATCTCATTATTTTCATTAAGCGACATCTCTGTTAGAAACACAAAATCAAGATTATGCTGAGTAATTTAGTCATTGATTCAGCTGTAGTGTTGGGCTGGAAATGGGGCTTGCATAGTTCCGTTTGGAGGGGAGATGCTTCTGTTGGGATTGCATGTCTGTATGTTGGTGTTTTAGGAGTAGACACTATGCTCCAAAGCACTGATTTATGTGACATGTATTTGTTCATCACCTCATCTACCATTTGGGCTGTCTTTATTATTCTTGCATGCCAAGGCCTCAGCAGAGTGATTATCATTTATCATGATGGAAGCTCTTTATCTGGGTTTCATTCATATCCTGTACTTCATTAAGTGAAGTTTTGCACCTGTTCCATTAAGGTGAAATCCATCTCTTTTGAACAGATGTCTCTTTTCCAACAAGATATTAAAGTTTTCAATAACACCAATCGATCTTGCAGAGCAGGCTCATTTGATCCAATTATTCAGGTAAGAAACTCAGCTGAAGACTCCATCTCCAGTTGCTTTTTGTATCTCTGCTTCTTTTGCTATGTCTGCTTCTGTCTCCTTGAACCCCAGTCGGCCTCAGCAGATGGCCGCTCACACTGAGTCTGGTTCTGCTGGAGGATTCTTCCTGTTTAAAAGGAGTTTTTTCTCTCCACCGTTGCTACAAGTATGCTTAGTGTGAGGGAACCCTTTGAGTCAATGAGTCGATGCAATCAGCTGGTTTTCCTTAGATACAAAACTTTGAATCAGTTTGACTGTATGATCTGGTTGAATTGTAAAGTGCCTTGAGATGGCAAGTTTTAAATTTGCGCTATATAAATAAACTGAATTGAAATGAACCGCTGAAGGTGGTGTGAAAGGGCCACTAATGAAAACTAAAATGTGTCTGTTCTGCAGTGCAAAGGAGACTAATCACATCATCCTTTAATATTCCTCTTCGCAACATAATTCTGTGCTCCAATGAGAATGATTAAGTAATTCAAGGTTGTGTTTAATTCTGTTAACTTTGTGAAAGTTGCACTGGCCTACTAATTGGTGGCAGCCCAGGGCGGGGCTATTAGTGTGCACACCTGAAGTGCTTTGCCTCACACTGGTGAAGGCATAACTAACACCTAGGAAGGCAGCTGCTAATCTTCAGAGAATTGAGGACCCATATCAAAAAACTGAAGAGGTAGCCGGTAAGAAACCTGACTTTTAGAGGATCTTACTGCCGCTGTTGTAGAATATAGTATGTGTAATTTGAGTGGAGTCCTCCTCATTTGATTTGAACACCTTGATTTGAAAATGGCTGCAGTGGTGTATGTTGGGTTCATAAATGTAGGTTTGCAAAAGAAGAACTGAAATATACAGTAAGGGATTTTTCATACGCCTTCTGCAGAAGGAAAGCAGTTGAACACCAGACTCAAACACACTGTCTCCCACCAGACCTCCTCCTGAATGTAGTGTAAAGTGCTTTGGTCAAGTCTCCTGACTTGAACAAGTGTTTTATAGGCCACTTGCCATTTATTAAAGTGCTTGGCTTGGCAGCTAGTTTGTTGTGAGGCTGTTTAAGAGAAAGCTGATGTTGGGATCTGGAGGCTTGTCAACCTTTCTCCACCACAGGGAGCCTGAGATCTTCCTCCTGAGGGCGTGAGCTGACTTCTGCACACCTGTTTCCCATCTGCTCATCTGGAGGCTTTCTTAAGGAGGAGGAGGCTGACACTTCCCTGCCAGAGTGTTTGCCAATAATGGTACCAGCAAACCTGAGCCAGCTAACTCTGATCTGTTTTCCTGATTTTTTGGGAACTAGTCTGACCCTGTGTTCTTCTGCCTCTCAGATCCTGACATATCTGGTTATCAGTCAACTCCTGGAGAAAACTCTCACTGCCTGGAACCTGCCTGTCTGCCCTCTGCCTCAGCCTCCGTCTCCGCCTCAGCCCTCAGCCTGCCGATCAGCCTCTGGACCCTCAAGCTTCCCCCCCTGCCGGTCAGAATACCCCCTGAGCAGGTATTAACTCAAATCGCTGTTAAACAGCAAGTTTCCTGGATCCGCTCTAACCGATCTGTCCTCCTCTAGTATCTTCCCTCCCGTGACCAGCCTGACGAACCAAGACCCCGTTCACATTTCTCTGAAATCATTGTCAATAAACCTTTTAACCCTCCTGTCGTCCTTGGGGTCAATTTGACCCCATTCAATGTTTATAATTCAAAAAATAGTAGTTAACTTTTTTTTTGCTTCATATTTCATGACTTTTCCTAATTTGATGGGGACAACTGGTAAAGCATAAAATGTTTGTGATGTTATTTTTTTAATGTGCTGAACACATATTACACGCATTGGTTATCCTCTGGGGTCAATTTGACCCCAAGCTGTTTTAGCTGCTAAAACTTGTCAGTGACCTAACATGACCACACCTGCAGGTGCAGAGTTGATACATTTTAGTTGATACATTTGAACTGAGACATCTGGGGATCTGTGTGAACTTCTGAACTCACACCTGCCAAAGTAGAACTGATTTTTCCCGCCTTGTGAAGGGCGGGTTATTCCTACAACGCCATTGGTAGTTCATGCCAAATCAGGGAGGAGCAAACATAAGCTTGCACTACAGTCCTCTATCCAAATCATTCCTCACTGTGCTCTGAGTATACTGCAATCTGCACACTCTCTCTTTGAAAATGTCTTCTGGAAAAAGGTTTACTGTCAAAGAGGTTTTGGAGCAGCTCTTTGACAGTGAAAGTGACTTAGAGGAGACTGTCTCTGAGACTGAGGATTGTGTTGAGGAGGACCCTGATTTTGAGGAATTCTCATCTGATGAGAATGAGAGTGTTGACCCTCCTATTGTCCCTCAACCACCAGCAGACACAATTTCTTCCAAAAATGGAAAAATAATATGGTCCCTTTCCCCACTGAAACAGCAGGGTAGACATAGCGCAAGTAATATAATCAAAATGGTTCCAGGACCCACCAGATATGCAGTCAGCCATGTTGATGACATCAAGTCATCATTCGAGCTCTTCATAACACCATCAATTAAAAATATTGTGCTTGGGATGACAAATTTAGAGGGAAAGCGTGTTTATGGGGACAGTTGGAAAGACTTGGATGTAGTTCACTTGGAAGCCTACATTGGCTTGCTAATTTTGGCAGGAGTTTATAAGTCAAAAGGTGAAGCAACAGCAAGTCTTTGGAATGCTGAGACTGGAAGGGCAATATTTCCAGCCACCATGTCTCTGAAGGCATTCCACATTTTGTCTCGTGTCATACGCTTTGATGACAAACAAACAAGGCAGGGCCGTCGAGAACGTGACAAACTTGCTGCAGTAAGGGATGTGTGGGACAAGTGGGTGCAGCGTTTACCCCTGCTTTATAATCCAGGAGCTCACGTGACTGTCGATGAATGCCTGGTTGCGTTTCGTGGGCGCTGCCCATTCAGACAGTATATGCCTAGCAAACCTGCTAAATATGGCATCAAAATATGGGCAGCATGTGATGCACAGTCCAGCTTTGCCTGGAACATGCAGGTGTACACGGGCAAATCTCGTGGCGAAGCACCAGAAAAAAATCAGGGCACAAGGGTTGTGCTTGATATGGCTGAAGGACTGCATGGGCATAATATTACATGTGATAATTTTTTCACGTCTTACGCCCTGGGTGAGGAACTGCTCAAAAGGCAGGTTACGATGTTGGGGACGGTGAGAAAGAACAAGCCAGAGCTTCCCTCTGAACTCCTTTCTGTCAAGAGCAGGAAGGTAACATCTTCCATGTTTGCCTTCACTGAGAAAGCAACTCTGGTCTCCTACTGTCCCAAGAAAGGGAAAAATGTCCTGCTGCTCAGCACCATGCACAAAGATGCTGCCCTGAGCAGCAGAGAAGACAAAAAGCCACAAATGGTGCTGGACTACAATAAAACAAAGGGAGGGGTGGACAATTTAGACAAGGTCACAGCCACATACAGCTGTCGACGCATGACTGCCCGTTGGCCCCTTGTCATCTTCTTCCACATCATTGATGTGAGTGCATATAATGCGTTCGTGATTTGGTGTGAGATAAACAAAGACTGGAATAGGGGAAAACTCAGCCGAAGGAGGCTTTTCCTGGAGGAGCTTGGCAATGCACTGGTCAGGCCTCAAATTGAGAGAAGACAGAGCCTTCCAAGAGCATCACCAGTTGCTGCAGCTATTGTGAGGGACATACAGAGGGAGAAAAACACCCCAACTCCCCCAGTGGCACAAACTGCAGGCAAGAAACGTGGCAGGTGTCAGGTCTGTCCCACCCGAAACGACTGCAAGACCAGCATGACCTGTTCAAAATGCAAAAAGTATGTCTGCAAGGAGCATGCACACACACTCTGCACATCCTGTGTACAGTAGTGCAGACTAAACGCTTAGCTACTGTGGCATGAACTGTTCCACGTTTTAGCTACTGACATTGTCACACTGTTCAAAATGGATGGATTTTCATGTTGTTTCTCTCTAAAAACTGTTCCATGTTCTAACTACTACGTGACATGTTCTCATTATCCATTTTCTGTCACACAAATGAATAAAAAAAAAAAAAAAACAGAAAAAACAACCAAAAAAAATCATAAAAAACCAAAAACAAACAAAAAAAACTCTATAACTCTGCCACTGCCGGTCCCAAGCCCGGATAACAAAAGAGGAGGGGTGAGTAAGATCCTACAGTAACTAGCAACAAATATATTACAACAAAATAGACAAAAATAAGTAAATAAATATGTTTATGAGAGGAAAGGGGGAGTCACCAACATTAGTCAATATGGTTCATTTGGTGAGAGTCATGAATGTGCTCAAAACCTGTAAATTTGAGAAGATTTGTATAAAAAAATCAAAATAAACTCATTTTCATTTAAAGGTTTGGCCTGATGGTGGCGCTAGAGGGAAGGTCAACTCACTGATTTTCAAGGGGTTATTTATGTATTCAACAAATAAACAAAGTGCCTGTCACAAAAACTTGGTCAACAATATTCTGTAAATCATTTTCTGCAGGTAAATATCCCTGGGGTCAAATTGACCCCAAGGACCAAATTTGTTACTATATTTGAGGACGATAGGAGGGTTAACTTTTTTCCTGTCTCTTGAGTGTTTCTGCATGTGGGTTAGAAGATTAGACCCCAACATGACAGCTGAGTGTTGTCATGCCTTTTTTTTCTGACGTCTGGAAACAGAAACGGGCTGTTCTCTTCAAGGTCAGTTTCTTTTAGGGTTAAAAGTTTTTAGCAAAAGTTTTAATCACAATGGGTTGTTCCTTATCTTTTATTTTGTGAGAAAGCAGCTTTTTGCACCTGTGGATACTTGGGGTGGAAGACATTTCTCTCTGAATTCTTGGCCAGGTTTGTAAATGTGGTGTTTGTCCTGTTAGATTTTGAGCTCTTGATTGGATTGTTTGTTGATTGGCTTTGCTCCAAGTGTTTCCTAGCGGGGCTGCAAGTCTGATTTTTTTTCATTAGAAGCAGCACCTCTTTTCTATGTTCCGTTGGTCATTTGTTATTGTGATGAGTTGCTATTCAAAACCACTGGTGGGGTTCTATCAGCATTTTGAGAAACTGGGAGGGTCGGCGTTGGCGGGTGTCAGGATTTGGTGTTGGTTTGAGGACCCAAATGCAGAGGCAAGTTGGCAGAGGTGAATTTAAGTGGGTTTAATAAAGTTCACAGGAACTTTGGATCAAAAAATCCAACAAAATAAAAAACGAACCAGAACCAAGGAGACATCAGGGGAAAACCAAACTCTAGGAACCAGGGAGAGACGAGGAAGGCAGACAGACGTTAGACGAGGATCCAGCAAACATGAACTGAAGAGGGAGGCTTTTAAAGGGGACAGAGACAAAGAGAGGGCTAACGAGGGGATTGAAAACAGGTGAGGGCAGAGCAGAAAACAGAGCTAGGGAAAAGAGGACACAAGAGGGCAGCAGAGGATAACAAATGGAAAACCAAGACTGTGACAGCGGGGTTGTATAATTTCCATAACCAGCATTCAGTTCCACATTTATTTAAATTCAGTTAATCTTCAAATTTCCAATACAGCCATCCTCTATAGAAGCTTGTCTAAGTCCTGTGCAGTCAAGGCAGGCATTTTGCCCTTAAGTGTCCTTCTCTGCGGGGTGATCAAAATAATATAAAAAATCTTTAAAAATGAGTCCAGCTAGAGAATCTCTAAAGAAAAAAATAGTTTTGCCTAAATTACTGTCACTTTGGCTGAGAGATAGAAAGTCTAAAAGTTATAAAAATGTAAGCAAACGAGTAGCAAGGAAGAGATGTGTCTGAGCAGGCAAAGAGGCAGAAGTACTTGAACAAAAAAAACATTATTGCTCTCTTGATTGTGAATGCACAATCATGTATTTGGGATATTACACCACATATATTAAAACATGTAGAGAGCTGTTCTCTACATTCTTTTCTTGAAGGCTGCAGGGCAAATTTGACCAGCGTCATTCATGTGCAAGTGTGTCATGGTATTAAGTGGTGATCTACTGTGTAAAACGCAGCAGAGAGGTCGAGAAGAATGAGGAGGGACATGAAACCGGAATCAGAAGCTATCAGCAGATCGCTGGTGACTCTGATGAGAGCTGTTTCTGTGCTGTGGGAGGGGCGAAAAACCAACCATACACATTGCATTTATGATTGAACAATTACTGCTCATTCTTACATTAACAGATGATTTATCAAAAAAAAGACTTTTCTAACTCTCTCTGTTTGCAACATTAATGAAAAAGCTCTTTAATAATTAAAACATTCTTAGCAATTAGGGTCTTTTGAGAATTACACAACAGGTTTGTTAGAAGATGGGTATAACAAAATCTGCAGTCTCTACAAAAGGTACAGATATCACAGATACAGGGCAACTGTAATAGTTTTATCAAAATGTTTTGGCTGTATTGAAATAATTTTAAAGTAATAATGCTTTATTAAAGAAATCATGAATTCTTAAAATATATTTGGCAGTTGCTAAATTTTAAAAGCATCAGAATTTTGTTTAGCCTATGTATTTAAAGGTAACTAATTAGGCAAATGACATAAAATGAACAGCAAAAGTGCAGAAAATACATATAACAATCACTTCTACGCATATCAGGTTTATGCTGTATAGACATCACTCAATATCATTATAGGTAAAAAAAACTAAACAAAAAGCTAAAATCGTTGAGAAAAAAAAGCATGTTCAATCTAATAATTCAAATAGCTAAAAGATGAAACTCATAACCAAGATGTTTTGTACAAATGAAATCAACTTTCAAAGAAATCTATCTACTGTAGAAACATACACCTTATTGTAGAAAACGAATATAAATAAAATGTATACGTTAGATTCTAAACATCCTTAAAACACACAAACCTATCAAAGAAGATAATTTGAATTTAGTGGAATGTTCAAATGTAATATTTAGAATATTAATTAATTTTAAATAAAATTAAAAGGCAAAGTGTTTCCCAACCAAATCATCACATGAAAAAAAAAAAAAAAAAAAAGAAAAAAAAGTGAAAATGTAAACAATAAGTTTCCTTTGGGAAAAAAACTAGCCAAGACTTTAGCAGAGTGATGAATAGCATAGAAAAAACTTAAGTTATCTTGTCTTTTATTGGACCGTATTTGTAAAAGCTTAGTATGGTTATGCAGGTCTGTTTTCTACCATTAGCAAATTGGCTGCTATATTAAGCCAGTCTTAATTTCCTCTTTGTTTTACGTCTTTGTTTAGTTAAAGGAAGTATTGCTCTCACCGAAATTACAATAAAAGGTAGTGATGCAGAAAACATATGCTCTGTTCGAAATCCTGGGATGCGTCCTTAGAAGGCCAGATTCAAAGGACAATTACGTCATAGCGAGGCGCCGAGGTCTGGTCGGATTCCAAGACTCCTCGTTATGCGACCTTAAAATGCGTCCTTGTTTTTGCCCGATTTGTTTTACCGATGTATCCTTGGTTTACCCAGGATTCATTGCGAGACCAAGCAAGCCGGCTGCTCCGTGATCAGAGGAAAGGTTACTTGACGCCGAACAGTGGTGAAAATTGGAAGTTCAGTTTAATATAATCCAGTCTGTGAATAGTTCCATCTGAAATGAATGAAAATAGTTGTTTTAATGGTTATAGAGTCAGATATGTGGAGGCAATGTTTGATTTATCTAAAGGTTTTAATCTGTTACTGTGTAAATGGGTTTGGCTGTAATTTAAGGAAAGATTCTAAAAGATCTGCAGGGTGGGGACTATAAATCTGATAGGATTTTTAGTTTTTTATTGCTGTTTTGCACAATATGCTTAACTAAGTATTTTTTGTTGTTGAATATTAGAGGTTTCGCAGATTTATTTTTTATACAAACATTGTTTAGATTTACTTATATCTTTCTACCCCTTTTATAGAATAGAATAGAAAATCCCTTTATTGTCCCACAATGGGCAAATTTACAGCAGCAGAAAGATTATTGAAAATGGTCACACATATGTGGACCTTAAAAAATTTATAAGAATAACATAATAGGGAAGAGTTAAAATATAAACAATACAATACTGTAAAGTGCTTTAACAATATAAAACTGGAGAATTAATAACCAATATGCTATGGACATTTTTACAGTAATGGATATTTGAAAAAAGCAGCAACATCAGAGATGTGCAAAATGACAGCAGCATGTTATTTAGCTGACTAAGGTTTCTATCATTACATTTGATTTTATTTGTTCCTGCTCCCGGTGCTTGGAACCTTTATTCCATTCTGGATTCTTGTCAGTGTAGTCTTTGTTCACTTTACAATAAAAAATAAATAAATAAACAAACAGTTTTGAAAACTTCGATTTTCATTCTTTTCCTGCTTTGTGTGTCAACTTTCACGGTTGCTAAGCAACAGAGGGCACGGCGGTAAAACCCGTCGAAGGGTAGACCTGTTCGAATTGACAGCCAAAACTCTTCCGGTCTCCTTATTTTCATGGACCTCGAAGGATCCAGTCTAGGTAGACCGCGTCCTTGAAGGATGCAGCCCAGGTTTTCGAACAGAGCCATTGATTATGAAAAGAAAGCAATAATCACATGATTCACTCACTCCCATTCCATTGTTGTTTTAAGTGGAAATACTTTTTTATACAGATCTGAACATATAGATTTTCATGATGAGCGATACCAGCCAAACAAATCGGTTTATTCCCTCTGACTTCAATGGGACTCCTTTCTTGTCTCTCATTTACTTATTAGTAAGATCACCCTTTGGGCACAGCTGTCTGCACTTGTGGTGAATCTGTGCTTCTTGTGTCTTCCTTTAAATAAAATCTGATTAATTATTGATAGCTGTTGATCAAGTCTCTTTGCTTTGAAGTATCAGATCACTTCTGTTGTTAATTTGCTTTAAAATCAAAAGATACCTCTGTCTAGTGCAGGCATCCCCAAACTCGGTCATCGAGGACCACTG